GGCCGCGGCCGCTCCCCGGGCGCTCCGCGGGAGGCCTCCTGCTGACGGTGCCTTCTCGTTGACTGTGGCAGCGAGCGGCGGCGGCGGGAGCGATGGAGATGCAGTCGTACTACACCAAGCTTTTGGGAGAGCTCAACGAGCAGCGCAAGAGGGACTTCTTCTGCGACTGCAGCATTATCGTGGAGGGGAGGATCTTCAAAGCGCACAAAAACATTTTGTTCGCCAACAGCGGCTATTTCCGAGCCCTGCTGATTCACTACATCCAAGACAGCGGACGCCACAGCACCGCCTCTCTGGACATTGTCACCTCGGAGGCCTTCTCCATCATCCTAGATTTCCTTTATTCCGGGAAGCTAGATCTCCGTGGGGAAAACGTTATTGAGGTGATGTCTGCGGCTAGCTATTTGCAGATGACCGATGTGGTCAACTTCTGCAAGGCGTATATAAGGTCGTCGTTAGATATTTGCAGGAAAATAGAGAGAGAAGCTGCTTTCTATCAGGCTGATAGCGGGAGCGCTAGTTCTGCGAGAGAGGACACCTCGTACAGCTCAAAGAGCCAGTGCTCTGCCTCTGTCTCTTCCCTGCAGGAAAAGGAAAGGATTTCGGATTGCCAGAGAGACCCTCCCTGCGGAGAATGCAGCAGCTGCCATCCCCTGGAGCTTGTGGTCAGAGACCCCGTAAGCAGCGACTCTCCAGACGACGTCAATTCTTCGCTGCCCAAGGGGGTGGAACCCAAAGTAGAGTTTGACTCGGATGAAGTAGAGGTAGAAGTGGGTGAACGGCTGCCGCAGTATCCGACTCCGTTGTCCCTCGAGCAGATGGAAGAGGGGCTGCACGGCGGGCAGGCGGTGGACCTGGCCTGCAATAACTATCATATGAAACAATTCCTAGAGGCCCTGTTGCGCAACAGCTCAGCTCAGAGAAAGGATGATGTGGTTCATCACTTTGTCCGGGGCTTTGAGGGTAGGCCAGAGGATGGAGGGGTAGCCATGAGTTCCATGATGGACATTCACGGCGACTGGTATGGTGAGGACACAGGTGAGAGGACTCCAGGGGGGTGTAGTCTGTATAATTGAGGAGGAAACCGCTTGGTTGTGCGACTTCCTTTGTTACTGTCGTTCTTGTTCAGGAATATATTGCTGAATATTATGCCGTGGCAAAATAAACTATTGTTCTGGACTTCAAAAGAAAGCTGTACTCATTTATTCAGTGCAGCGCTTGGGAGGTAAGTATTTCTAACAGCTTTTTACAGTCTCTTTGAAACAGATCCTGGAGCTCGGTGTTGGTGACACTGCTTTAATAAACGATCTCGTTTGGGACCTCGTTGAATGGCAGGCAAATTTTTAAAAAGAATCTTCCTCTAGTCGTGTTAGCGTTACAAAGAGCAATCAGAAAGATAAGCTGAGCTGCCACAAGAGGGATCTGCTGTAGAGCCTGGCAGACCAGAAGTAGCTTATTCCACCGGAGCTCCTGCCAGCTCGTCGGTTGCTTGCTGGATGATGGTCTGTTTGCTGTTACTTTGAACTTCGAAAGGGCAGAAATCAGTTTTGTTCAATACTGAGCGATGCCTAGAAATTCTGTAAGAGCACTGAAAGCTTTTAACTGTGGTATGGCATAAAGACAAGACTTAAGTTTTACCTCTAGAGGCAGACTCGCTTCTCAACTGCCGGTCACCTGGGGTTCCGCGGCTTTCCCAAGCCCCGCGCCTGTTGGGATGTCTCCTAGCAGCAGTGTCAGGGACCCGGAGAAGAAGGAGGTCGTGTCCGTGTGCATTTCTCCCGAAGTGGACAATAAGGATTTGGGCATTTTACCTGCTTACGGTAACGCTGGCGCGCAACTTGCCTCATCCAAACTGCCTTACGAAGACGGGAGGCGGCTCTGACAAACGCTGCACGTGCCATAGCTGTTCAGGATGCGACAAATGCAGTAATGGTGCGGGCAACAGAGAGGAGATCTTTCACTGAACATTCTACTCTAGATAGCAGGCTTACATTTGTGTCGCTTCCAGCTCAAGCACGCATGTGAGATCTTAAAGCCATTAAAACCAATATATTCTCTCACTGCTTTAAAATGAGGAATCTGATAAAGTCACAACTCCAGTCTTACAGTCACCAAAAGTTATCAGAAACAAAGACTAAAGTTATCAGAACAGAGTGCTGTCACCAGATCACGCCTATGGTTTTTGACGTGTAGCAAGGCAAGAGCATCTAACGCACAAACTTGCCTTATTTTTTCCCCTCTTAAAATCTTCAGACTGTTAATGAATCACGAAAAGGGAAATGCTGCTAGAATTTGATAGAGAACATCAGGTGTTACGACCGCGTATTGGAAATGTTAATGGTAGATGTGCTTTAGATAGGAGTGGGGAAAAAAACCCCAACCTCGCATTCAGTTAGGGTTCTCTGCTAAAACTGAACATCGTAAGCCTTTAGCCGAATGAAGTGTCTCTTCTCAGCTTTTAGTGCTCCTGCCATCTTAGCATTTTCACAAGACACCAGGAATGAGAAATACAAAGTCCTGATAAAAGAATGGTTCTCTCACGCATTCAGGCTGACAGATGAGATAAACGCCACTTACTTTCAAGCGTCCACATCTGTTCCGGTCATCCTGGTCCCCTTTACAGCTGATGGAGGGTAAACGGGCACCTCTAGAGAGCCTGGGAGCAAGGCAGGTCTAAGAACTGCTTTTCTTTTTTTCAGCGGAGCTCTAAATGTCCAGCAGGGACTAGCAATACCTTGTGAAGGTCCAAAACTGGGTGAGATGAATTTCGCTTGATAGCCACACGTTAATCCTAGACACTCCTTTTTTTGAGACTGGGTTGGACGAACCTTAGTACAAGGAATGTTGTACAGCTCCACCTGCCTTGGTGTAACTGTTGAAGAGCTCAAGGCTTGAAATGCAAACACCTTCCTGAATCAGTACCTGAAACAGGGAAAACTAATCTTTCAGTATAACATCGCAACCTTTGTGCCGGAAGGGAAGCTCGTATCTGGGCCGATACTGAAAAACTTGGCAATACCCACGTTTACGTAAAATGTGATCTTCAAATTTAATTCTCTTTTTTTGCATCTGCCTTCATAAATTACATATTGGGTGCGTATAGTCTGATTTTAGGAAAAGTAAAATATCATCGGCACATGTATCGGAGTCCTTCACCTTGCTATTTCCAATAGAAAGGCTAAAGTGAGTGGCAGAAACAAGCATTTGTATTTTTAGATGGGTTCCCCACATCTAAATTTATGCACGTTGTAAAAGCATACGGGGAAACAATTGCACTACTTCTACCTGTTATTTGTGTTAAAGATTTTAGTTTCTAACGCTGTTTAATGCTAATGGTATCTTAAAAAAGAAAGTAAGAGACTTTCTACGGCTGAGATAGTGCAGAGGCCCCACTGTACTAAAAGCAAATTTTTGGCACTTAATTAAATGGCTTCTTAAAATAAAATTAATTTGTTTTTCTGTTGTGAGCCAACTCCCTTAGAGTATCAGCTATGTAAGCATAGGCAGGCTGATTTTCAGGGGACCTGATCATCTGCAGCTGCATGAATGTTTTCTGAAATTGCACAACCTACAGAAATCCCAGGTAA